GCTCATCACCAAGGCACGTCACCACCGGGTCAAATAACGAGGTACTTAGCCAAAAAAATTTATACATCACAAAAAATGGTACGTGACCAGAAACGATTACATCAGAATGCTAACTACCAACCAAACGTAACCCCTTCTTTTATCCAAACTTGAGATTGGCAATGCATATAAGCTCGCATTGATGGAAGGATATGATTCCCGAAGAATTCTGGCCTATGATCAGAAGTTGCTTTTCCAAGAATTTTAGCTTATTCTTCCTCATCAAATTGCTTCTTAACTCCCTTAGAATGTGAATTCCTTTTAAATTTTAAAAGTAAAGAAATAAAATATTGAGCTATTTAAACTCAAGCACTCCCTTAGGCTATGTTTAGTTTGAATAAAATGCAGGGAAAGTAAAGGAAAGGTAGGGAAACCTTTACAAACCTTGTATAGGTTTTCCTGTCTTTCCCTACCTTTCCTTTAAACCAAACATAGCCATCATTTCCTTTCCTTTCTCATACCATTGGGAAATTGGAATGAATGATGCCAAAAGCCCTAGGACTTCAATTTCTCAAAGTAGTTCTTCTAGCCTTTTTCTTCAACCTACAAAGTTGATAGCCCTTTCCCCTTTATTGGAATTGAACCTCAAACACTACTAACACTATTGATTATTCTATTATTTTATACGAGTACATTACTTAATTAAATTTTGTTTTGTTTTGCCTTGTGGAGAGCTACCTTGGCACTTGGCTGACCATCAAATAGTAAACAAAAACATAAAGAAAAAGCAACATCCGGAATGTTAGAGGTTTGGGAGGCCAACTCAAAAGGACTCTAGTGAAGGAAACTCTTAAAAGAGAAAATCCAGACATAATTATTTTGTAGGAATCAAAGAAAGAGGTAGTAGACAAGAAATTTATAAAGCCATTTGGGGGATAAGGGGAAGGAAATGGGCAATTGTTCCTGCAATAGGTTCATTAGGAGGCATTGTTATAGCTAGGAAGGAAGAGTTCTTTGGGCTAGAAATTGACAAGGGAGATTTCTCGGTCTCAGTCTTATTCACCAATACAAAAGACAGATTCAATTGGATTATGGGAGGAATTAGACTCTTTGCATGGGGTGAAGGCATTCATTGGTGTGTAGCAGGAAACTTCAATGTAATATGATTCAACCAAGAACACTTCAATGATAGAATTCTAACAAGAAGTATGAGAAAGTTTTCTAGCTTCATCTCCAGACATAACCTTTGTGACATCCCTCTCAAAAATGGTCAATATACCTGGTCAAATATGCAAGAAGTCATAGTTAGTTGTAGACTAGACAGGTTTCTTTTATCCCATGATTGGGTGCAAAGATTTCCCAACCTAACTCAAGACCTTTGCCACCGTTGCATTTCAGACCACTAGTTCATTAAGCTGAACAAAGATCTAGTCACAATAGGAAAGCCCCCTTTTAGACTAGAAAAATGGTGGACCTCTCACAAGGATTTTAAGAAGCTGGTAGCTAGTTGGTGGGAG